AAAGAAAGAAAGAAAGAAAGAAAGAAAGAAAGAAAGAAAGAAAGAAAGAAAGAAAGAAAGAAAGAAAGAAAGAAAGAAAAGAAAATCCCTACCCTCACCCCACCCCTTCTGTGTTTTGTCCACTGGGACAACACAGGGGCAATTTGATAAAGAAGACCTTCCCTGCTTTGTGTCCCAGGACATACCACAACAAGAGTGCCACTACACCCACAGACAGCTCCCATTTCTTCCCACATGGTCACCTTTTCCCAAGGCGCCTGTAAGAACCATGCACCAGCAATAGAGTCAGAGCCAAGCTGGGCTTTTCCCATGGCCCTAGACACTAGAGTGAGGGTGTATGGGCTGCATCCCTGAGTGAGGGCAGGGGACCTACAGCTAGGCCTCTTCACTCTCCCAAAGCCGTGATGCCTATGTGTTCCCTCACAAGTAGAGAGAGCAAGGCACTCTTATGCTATGGAGGACCTCCCTCAATGACTCCCTCTGACCTTGTACATGCTCATCTACAAAGCAAGGGCAAGAAACCATGATATAAAAATTGTTTTTCATTCAAGGACAAATAAAAACAACAAAGTTCAGGCCAATTGGCAAGAGGATCCTAAGGAAGCTTAGAACCCAAAGCACTGAGAGAGGACCTACTCCCTCTGCAGACCTTCCAGTCAGACTCACAGCCCTCGGTGGCTCCGCATGACAGCACTCTGGGGTTTGCAAGTTACTGGCATCTTTATTCATATTGTTAATTCTTTCAGAATCAACATTTTGCTGTTTTTTTGAGACAAGGTCTTGTTATAGAACCCAGGGAATCTAGATCCTTATGTATACCATGAAGGCCTTGAACTTGCAGTGATCCTCCCGTCTCTGCCTCCAAAGTGCTAGGACTACAGGTATGAACCATTACACCCACCAGAATTAATATTTTTATAAATGGCTCTTGGGTCTAGTCTGAAAAATATGCAAATGTATTGTTTTCTTTCCTACATTCTACAAATAGCAACATAACCAATCCTCCAGATAAGTGTAAATACAAATAACATCTTTGAAAGGATCAATACAGTTTTGTTATGATGTTTTCCCATTAAGTTAGGATTCACTTTACTTGTGTGATTTTACTCAACCCAGTAAGGAAACTTAAAATGTCACAGCTGAGTTATGAGGGAATGTTTAAGTACCAAAATGAGCTAGAGTTAACATGTCAGCAGATTCCCCTATCCAGGAGAGCCAAGCAGCATACTCACTGTCAGATTCCAGTTGATCTGGGGGATCCTCATATGAAGGTTGAGACTGAAGAGAATCAGCAAGACCCCAGTCACCACAAATGCACTGCAGCTTACGAACTCAAAAAAGTAGAGGCCTTCGCACGGGGAACACTCCATGATGGTCTCGATGCAAATGAATGCAATCAGGGCCAAAATCTAACAAGAAAATAAATGTACGTATATATTTATTACCTACCTATGGACATATATGCCTTCTGTGTTTAAATACAATTGAACAGTATACAGCAGCAGGGTTCTCCTCTGCAGAGAGCAGTGTGACTGATAGAAACACAACCAGCTTCAACTTGTAGGCAGAACAGGTAAAGGAATTGGAAAGGGAGGTCAAGTTCATAAGGAAAACAGTGAAGGCCCTTCCACTGCTATACCGAAACCAGCCAGGCATGGTGTGGCCCTTCCAGGTCCTTTGGTCCTCTGGAAAAAGGAAGAAAGGAAGTATCTCTGCAATGTGTTAGCTACCCCTTTAAAGTCCCTAAAAAAAAAGCTGTCTAGCTTCTCTTCACCCTTCACATGCTAAAGACAAAGAGCTCATCTTCATTAACTCACATACTTTTGGAAAGTGGGCCACTGGATTTCATCAACAGGTAGGCTGGTAGTTTACTTAAAAATAAATAAATAAATATTTTAAATCTTTGAATAGAATCAATTTCTTCTGAAAAGCCCAAGTAACATCCTAGCATTATATCCCAAAAATTCAGCAATCATAAAACTAAAGAGATACCAGGAGACACAACCATATGAACATCTAGAGTCCAGGAGAAGAAGTGGGTCCCAGGCTATGTTAATGGCCCTCCTAGCAAGGGTGCTCTTAATACCTAGTGTCTGATCAGTCTTTGGTTCCGAGCCTCTACTCACATAGTTACCCATGTCAATCCTTTACCAGATCCAGCCCCACTCCACTGAGATACAGGCCAATGAAGCAGACACAAGCTGTTCCAAGGCCCTCCAGAGCCAGCAATGCAGCATTCCCTTGGGATGGTTCAAAATGGTGCAAGTTGTGCTGGGAATTGAATCCGCATCCTCTGGAAGAGTGGCTAGTACTCCTTACCACTGAGCCATCCCTCCAGTCCAACACATAAATCTTTGAATGTTAAAATCTATACACAAATAATTTCTGACTCAGAAAATGTATTATAAATCTTATTTTTTAGCCTACTTTTTCTTCTTAATAGTATCCACAGGTATTTCTAAATAAAGGGAAACATAATTTTTAATTATTACATAGTATTTGCATGTAACAATAAATCTATACATAGCGTAATTTAAACTATCCCTAAAATAGCTACTCAGATGTTTTTTAAAACTGTCATTATCAGAGTACATTTTGGGAGTAGGGAGAAGATGGGAATAGGCACAGAAAACTCCAAAATGTCTTCCAGCACAGTGAAATCTAAGAATCCCCTGTGAAGTAAAGTCACCTATTAACCAACAAGAAGAAAGAAAAGATTCCGCCAGTTGTGTTGGGAGCCTCCAATGTCAAGGCAACCAACGAATTAAACCACTGGACTGGCAGCAACCTTACAAGACACATATGTAAGAACCTTGACAGGTCTGAAGAGTAAATGCGGAAAGCTACAGCTTTTACTCATCAGGAGGATCTGGCTGCCCTTCCCATGTAGGATCTACCTGATGACAGATTATGAATTTTCCAAGTTGATTGTAAGTTGATGTCGACAAGATTGTCAGGTTTCCACTACCTGCAGCTGTGACTGTCAACATCAAAATAGAGGAAAGGAAAGGAAGGAGAGGCCTGCCTGCCTGGTCAAGTTATTATATTAATAATACTTTAAATTGTTAAATTTTATTACATTCATTGTGTGTCTGTGTGTGCGCGCGCGCGCGCATGCACACACACACACACACACACACACACACACACACACACACACACACACACACACGGAACATGTGGGGGAAGTCAGAGGACAACTTGTGGGAGTAGGTCATCTTCCTCCACTATGTGAGGCCTGGGAACCGAACTCAGGTCATCAGGTTAGCAGCAAGCACCTTTACCCACAGAGCAATATATTGCTAGCTCTACCCATGCTTTTTAAATAATGAGAAAGGCCTATATTACCAGGAATCTGAATGTAAACTGTTAAGGCCTTCCTAGATTAGTACTCTTCCCAGGACTACCGCTCTCTTCTGTGCCAGCCCATGGTGGAGCTGAAGATCCATGCTGTGTGACTTTCTAAAGGCAGGCTTATTCTAGAAGATGAAGCTAATGCTTCAGGGCTCCTCTATTGCTTCTGCCCTTGCAAAGTCCTGGAAGGGATACCTGTAATATGTGCACATGGCTGTGCTTTCACAAAGCCTATGAAATCGAGCTATTTTAACTGCAATCTGCTCAAACTGCTACCTCCTTCCACTCCAAATTCTGCTCCTTGTGGCAAATGATAAGAGAACAGCAACAAGGGGTTCAACTAACTGGAAGCTGAGTGAAGGATGAATTAAATTTAGGGCTAGCTGTCTTTTCCACAAATGGTTAAGTTCCTGTAGCCTTACCAGTGTAGGAACAGCTTCTGACACACCTCCCATTCACTACACTGACTGAACTGACTCTGTGACAGAGGGACAGGCTCTCAAATTTGCAAGATAAATGTGTCCTACATGCCAACTAGAAGCATATGAGTAGTGGAGGAGAAATGGGGTGTGAGCCCCATGGAGCCATCAAGTTGTCTTGGAAAGTCTTCCTCCGGTCATCCCACACATTAGGCTGTGATCGGAACCTGAAAACTGGCGTCTCTTGTCTTGGGGATGGACTCAACATTGCACTTTACGTAGCCATGAGCCTGCTCTACAGCTGCTCTCACTTTAGGTAGAAATCACTTTAGAGAACTTACTCCAGGGTTTGAGGGACATAACCCTATAGCAGTATCACAAACTGTAAGCATGCATGTGGGAGCATACAGACCTGTGTCTCTACCTGTCAGATAGCACCTTGAGATTTCCACAATTTTTGTTTGTTTTTCGAGACAAGGTTTCATTGTTTAGCTCTGTCTATCCTGGAACTCTCTCTGTAGAGCTGGCCAGCCTCAAACTCAGAGGATCTGCCTGCCTCTGCCTCCTGAGTGCTGGGATTAAAACCATGTTCAGTTTCCACAAATTCTGAACTGGCAGTCTGACATCCCCAATAAGATGGTACATAAGGCTACCTCCAACTCTCAAACATCCTGAAGAAATCAATGTCCTGGTGACGCCTCATCTATTCATCAGGAGTCAATACCCTCTACTCAAAGCACACAGTGCAGCCTCGAAGCAGTAAGGAATCGAGGCAAAGTGGATGTGATGCACGTGTTGATGGTAGAAGACATCCAGAGATACCTATCAAAGCAACAGAGCTGAGTGAGGTGGTGCATTTAGGAGGGATGAGGCAGGAGGATTAGGAGTTCAAGGTCATCCTCAGAAACACAGTTAGTCTGAGACCAGCCTAGGTTACAAACCAAAAAAGCTAGGTGTAGTGGCACACCAGGAAGATATGAGAAATAGGTAGAGGCAAGAGGATCTCAAAGTAGAAGCCAGCCTGGGCTATACCTGATTTTAAAGGTCAGTAAGGCAAAAATGCTTGCCTTGCAATCCTAATGACCTGAATTTGATTCCAGGATCTCATGGGGGAAGGACAGAACAGACTCCTCAAAGCTGTCCTCTGACCTCCACATCCACACCCTGTTACTTATGTGACCACACTCATACACATAACACATATTCATATACACAACAGTAAATACAATTTAACATATAACATTGAGCAAATAAGACACACACAAAAATGATGGTGTTTGTATTCACAAACATTCTTACATATACTGAAGCATTTATATTAAACAGTGAAAAATACACTTCTGTGGAGTAGGACTGACAGAGGGAGAGGGGAATCAAAGATTTTTCTCTTTTTGTATTTTAAACATTTCTGTGGTATATGAATCTATGGGAAAGATACACACTTAGAATTCACTTCTATATTTATAATATATGCGTGTCAGAGACCTAATTATATCTAACTATACACCTATACAATAAGCAGATCACATGTACCTAAGTTTAAGAAAGACCCACAGTAAAATAATAAAATATTGATTCTTAAAGGTCAATAACATTTAACCCATAAGTCAATGGCTATTTTTCAAAACTATGTGCGGAGTTGAGAATGTAGTTCAGTTGATGGACTGCTTGCTTAGCATGCATGAAGGGCTGGGTTCGGTCTCCCATACCCCACAAAACAGAGCATGGTGGCACATGCCTCTAAGGCCAGTGATCAGGAGGTGTGATGAATAAACAATTCATTTACATGGTAGAAGGTGGAGGTGAATGATTGCTATTGCTTTTGTTGTTAGGGTGTTAGGTCATTTGGAGACAGTCATTCCAGGCTGGCCTCTGAACTCAAGATCTTCCAGATTTGGCTTTTCAAATGTTGGGATTACAGGAATGTGACACCTTCCCCTGCTTTCCATTGCTTTAGACTTTTATTTTCCAAACAGTGTTTTGTTGTTGTTGTTTGGGGTTTTTGCTGTTTGGGTTTTTTTGTTTTGTTTTGTTTTTGTTTGTTTTGTTTTGTCAAGACAGGGTTTCTCTGTGTACTAGTCCTGGCTGTCCTGGAATTTGCTTTGCAGATCAGGCTGGCCTCAAACTCACAGAGATCCACCTGCCTGTGCCTCCCAAGTGCTGGGATTAAAGGTGTACACCACCACCACCTGGCCAAACAGTGCATTTTTAATGGGAAAGAAATGTTCATACATAGATCATTCATAGAGACAGGGTCTCATGTAGCCCCGGCTAGCCTTGAACTCACCACACAGCCAAAGATGGCCTTGAATTTCGAATCCTCCTGCTTCTACCACCTAAGCGCTGGGATTATAAGCATGTGCCAGCATGCTACTGGGGATGAAACTAGGCAAGCACTCTACCAACTAAGCGCCATTCTCAGCCCTAGTACTTTTTAAAAATAGCCAGTTTTATTTATGAGTTAAATGTTAATGGCCTCTAAAAACCAATCCTTATTTACTTTGAAACCATTCTTGAATATGTTTAAATGAAACAAAAAGCTTTAATGGAAAATGAAAGCCACTCTGTACACATCTATGTTGATTCCATTTATCAGAAGAGTTCATCCTCTCCAGAGCCTGCTTGGTGACCACACA